CTCATACAATTGTGGGAAAATTCGACTATTAGTCCTTCATCAGCTTAGACGAAATAGGGTGAACACATCTCATATTACTGATTTACTGGTAGTCTCGAAACTCTACTCCAATACGAAAATGAATTTTGCATATCCTTGTTTCTGCAGAGCTAAAGTAAAGTAACTTGGTGGATTGTTATAGCAAATGCAAGTTGGCTTCATCAACAATCCCACCAAAGAATATGGAATGGGAAAAGGCTTGGCCTTACCTGAAATTCTCATCTGCTCCAAGGAGACTTGTGGCAGCGTGGCGTAGTGGTTAACTTGTGCAGATTATACGCTGCACTGTCGTGGTTCGAGTCCCGCTGGGGGTGCTTATAAGACCTACGCGAGGCGGAACATGCAGTCCCTTTCAGCCTGAATGAGAATGGCTTTTGGCAGAGCGAGTCTCTGTGAAATGCATGGGAAAACTAAACTGGAAGTGCCCTTATCACTCCAAACGAAATAGGAGAAAATATTTATTGTAATATAAGTGTAATATATATTGTAATATATTACTGTAATATACTGTATACTGTAATATATTATTGTAATCAATTACAATATTTATAATATTCTAATATTATTGTACTATAAGCATAACAGGAGTAGATGGGTCTCCATGAATTTGTTGAGATTGAATTGTTGTGGTGCTTTGCATTTTGTAGGGAAGTGTATAATGAAGAGTTTCGAGCGTCAGTCGCAGCATAAAACGACGGCTGATTCACTTTTTTCTGAGGCCGTTTGGCTCTGCCAAGATGCTCAAGTCGTGAGAAAACGAGGCTAATTGACGGTCAGCCTCCTTCAGGGCCGGAGTTCATTCTTACAAATGCTTTAAGGTAATATTGCGCCAGAAGGACTGGCTGGCTCCACTTTACAATCCTATCAAATTGAGGTTACTGTAAGGCCTTTTCAAAAATAATTTCCAACTCTGAACACGTCTGTCTGTCAATTGGTATGACGATAGAGAATTCAGTCTGCGTCAATCTGAACGTCATAGTAAAACCAAACGGAAATCAACAGTCGTCTTCTTGTCAGATTGGCCCACAAAACTCTTTCTAAAGCACTCCCATTATTCACATAATGTTACTACTTTAAGTTGGTTTAAAAAAGCTAAAAGAGGCTACTTGTACGAAATGAGTAGATGATTGGCACGACAGTTGTCCTTCTCGAATTGCGTTAATGAAAGCTTTTGAGGCCAGATCAAATCTGCTGTCTAGACTCACCTTTTGCAACTTCAACACATTCATATCCATATTCGAGAACTACAGCTATTCTCGGCAGCATAATCACAACGAGCACGCTTATTGTGCAGTAAACTGAGAGAAAATTGGTTTTTTTAAAAGCTGTCAAAAGAGGATTTATCAGAGTTTGGGGAACCTGAGCTGGATCCTAAATGATGTAATAGCCGAGACTTGAGCTGCTCACAACGAAATGATTAAAGGGCTTCAGGGTGCTATTTTCTCACTTCGATTGGACAGCATTTCGACCGCGCCTCACCTTCTCCTCAACACCTGCGAAGGGATTCGAACTCGGAGCTACGCATCAAGCCGGAATTCTATTCCTCCGACAGACAACCAGTGGCAACGGCCACGATACTCTTGACCAGAACTCGAATCGCGATGGGGTGTTGATGGGAGACAGAGCGATAATGCTGAAATTTAACTCTAGTCCAACCTAAATGATAAAGCCTTTTAGAAGCTATTGTTGGCGGAAATTGCGTGGCTTCCTGACGGTAGAAAGCTCATTTGGCTTTGATCCGAGCTGAAAGAGGTTGTCTCGTGAACTGTGTCAAACGGAAGGTCGTATTAAAGCCAAATGGCTGTGGTACAACATGAATAAACCGTCGCATTCGGGTACGACTGGCCTACGAATCGCTTCATCAGACACACTTTCGTATAAAATGAAAGATTGTACAACAATGAAAATGTTTTGGCAAAGCTTTTCGACTAGTTATGAACTTAATGTCCACATACAAATGAGCCCCAGCTTGTTGTTTTGAGGACTTTATGCAAGCAAACAGCTCGAGAGGTCTACGTAAAAATAGCTTTACAAATAATTTCTCTCGTCCGTCAAGTGACGAACATGATCACAGCGAGGTACCATCGTCACAACAAAATTCAAGCTAACAAGTCAAGAAAACAAACACAGAGACAGACAGACTCGCATGCATCGAAGTTGACCTGTGACCTTAACTAACCAAATCACTTTATACTTGATCAAAGAGCCCAGATATAGAGTGGATATACCACTTTTTAGGGATTTTCCGGTGAGTTTTCTTGACTCGTTAGCATGAATTTTGTTGTGAAGATCATATCCCTGATGATCTGATGATGTTCGTCACACGATGGACGAAGGCTTAGCACCTTTTTACCGGAATCGAAGCAGATCAAGCTCGGAAACAGCATCGGCATGACTGTTCCAGAAAAGCCAATCGACAGCTGGTCAAGAGGAATCGGCCGTCATCTTCTGGTGGAACCGACCTTCAAATCTCTCCACGCAACACTTTTACTCGAAATGGAAGTAAGCTCAACAATTATGAAACAAGAAATTGCTCGAAACCCAACTTTTCTTTGTACAGATGGTTTATGCAATCTTTCTCGATGAAGGAGCGCATATGAATGAGATGTGTGCCGGCTTTCTACGAGCCCCTGAAACAAGCCTACAAAAGATGCCAAAGTAAAGCAGCAGGACAAAGAGAGTGA